GAGCGTACTGCTGTCAGTGATGTTGTCCTTAAAGCAAAACATGAAACAAACTGTGAAACTCTTGTTGCTTTTTCTGTAGGGCTGCGCCCTTGTATATTAAATCAGCCCTACAGCATGATTAAGTATATTGTGCTTTCTTGAATCATCCTTGTGGTTCTTAATTACAAGCAGCAGTGATCAAAAGCTGTCATGTGAAACAGCTGCTGTCCTCTGTTCCAAAAGTGGGGTTTTGGTGAGCAGCATGCCCCCTTCCTTTGTCCTAGAGGCAGGCTACAAGTCAGTGAGTCTTTGTGGGGTGGTTTGCAAAAAGCTGTTGAAGACTGGTAAAAGGCTAAATATTCTTGTTCACATCTGCTTTAAGGGAAGAACAGGAGAAGCTGAATGTCTGGGTAGCTCTGCTGAACTTGGAGAACATGTATGGTAGTGAGGAGACACTGATGAAGGTCTTTGAGAGGGCTGTTCAGTACAACGAACCTCTGAAAGTCTTCCAGCATCTCTGTGACATCTATGACAATTCTGAGAAGTACAAGGTAAGATAGTGCTAGCAGGTCCCAGGCATGTATCCCCTTCAGTCATGCCAGTAGACTACCAGTGCTGCCTGTATAAGCCTCCAGCTGTCAGATGTTAATCCTGTTCCTAACCAGGATTAATAGTTCTGATTGACAGTGGACAAGGAACTGTTGGTACTTAGTCATAAGTGTTTGGTCAGTATAAGATTTTTAAAGCTAGAAGGCTTTGCTATGAATCTGTGTGATCTAACCCAACCCTGCCCTTCCAGCAAGCAGAAGAATTGTACCACACTATGCTGAAGCGTTTCCGCCAGGAGAAGTCTGTGTGGCTGAAATACGCCTCTTTCCTCCTGAAGCAAGGCCAGACTGAGGCTACGCACAGGCTTTTGGAGCGTGCTCTCAAGGCTTTGCCCACCAAAGAACGTAAGCACCCTCTTCTCCATCCTTAATGTGGCCCACGTGTTGCCGTGTCGCCAGTAGCTGAACCACTCTGATATCTCTGCCCGTGACAATGCTGGTAACAAGTGAGAAGTGCAGCCAGTGGGTGCTGAACGTGCTGCCCTTGGCTCTGAGGGGAGGGCAGATTTCAACCTGGGTATCGATGCTAAGTCTTCCTGTAATGGAATTTGCTGCAATGGGCTAAAGCAAAGCACCCAAAGCAAAGATGACTTTGAGTCTTTATAGCCAGAGTTCGGTTGGTCTAGTCCCAGGTTTGTGGGGCTGCCTGTGGGTGCTGCAAGTGCATTTTGATTGTAAGAATCAGCTTCTGTCTCCTGCAGAGAGCTGAAGTGGGGAGTGAACTGTGACCCTTCTCTCTCCTGCTGTGATCCCACCTTGGTGCGTCATCACTTTACAACAGAGCCTTTTGTCTCTGGGTAGGGGTGGTGCTGTCTCTGTGCCCACCTCTGCTCTGCGTAATTATCGCTCGTGAGTTTGTTTCACAGGGAAGAGGGCTGCTGTGATACCCTAACATGTCATTACTTGTTCCAGATGTGGATGTAATTTCAAGGTTTGCACAGCTGGAGTTCCGTTTTGGGGATGCAGAACATGCCAAGGCCCTCTTCGAGAGCATCCTCAACAGCTATCCCAAGCGGACAGACATCTGGTCCATCTACATGGACATCATGATCAAACATGGCAGCCAGAAGGAAGTACGGTGAGTCGGGCTGCAGCAGGCTGGGGAGGGGCAGAGTACAGTGCTTGGAGCAACGCTTGGAGGTGCCATGCAGCGTGAGGTTGTGCGGGGCCTCCCAGCGCAGAGCCATAGAGAATTTTTATCACCTAGAGAAAGAAAACTGGGGTGTGTGGAAAGGCTTATCCTTGCCAGGATGGGAGACTCCAAGGAGATCAGTAGGGCAGAGAGGGACTGATGTGACCTGCGTGACAGGAACTAGCGGACTTGCGCTGAGGTTCATCTGTCGCTCTGGAGGGATTGCCTTGCTGTGTCTGAAGAGTGACATCAAGCCCTTGTGTATCTTGTAACATAAAAAGGGAGAAACTTCTTTGTTTTCCTTTTATTTTTTCTTTTCTGAGAGCTGGCAAAAAGAATTCCAGCTTCCCACACTATGGATCCAGCCACATCCACTTAATGAACGCAGGTCAGATACAGTGGCTGGATCTTAGCTTAACTGACTAGGAGCCTTAAAGTTCTGCCAGCAGATAGAAGGCTTTTACTTTGAGGATTTGGCCAGCTGTCAGGAATCTCTTCAAGCATCCGCTCTTTGGAGCAGGTTGAATGTCTCCCCTGACTTTATGCTCTTTGTTCAAAGGCAGGATACGGGGCTTGTGTTGAGTGCCGACACTAACGCAGCCATCTGAATGGCTTTGGTTTCTTGTAGGGACATCTTTGAGAGAGTCATACACCTCAGCTTGGCACCAAAGAAGATGAAATTCTTCTTTAAGCGCTACCTGGATTATGAGAAGAAATTTGGTACATCAGAAACTGTCCTGGCTGTTAAAAGAGCAGCGCTTGAGTACGTCGAGACCAAGAGTTCCCTTGTTGACACCTGAGTACGGCACGAGTGAAAACAGAGAGACTCGGCTCTCCATGCAGTGTGGGAACTGAGGGGTGTGGAGTTCCACCGTGAGTACCCATGGACAGGGAGTTTCTGGAGACTGTTGCTCTAGTACCAAACCAGACTGGAAAGAACGAACAGTCTAAGAAAAATATTTGATACGTGTTTGCAGCTTTGTCCAGATGTTACAGATAATCCTAGGCTGTTGATGACTTTGAAGACACGTTTTTAAATACAGACTGTTTTATAACCAATACAACCATCAGCCATACCTGTTCTGTTTTCCTGGGGAAACGGTGCAGTTACGATCCACTGTTTTTAAGTGCAGCGATATCTTACAAATTGATTTCTCTCATTATGAAGATGTCAGAGAAGATTCTCACCTTTCAGCTGAATTAGCACTTGGAAAGTTTTCTCCCAAACGCCTTGGTACTCCTCACAATTGGCAGAGCGGCGCAGAGGTGTAGCATAGTTGAGATTGGGAGGGATCTCTGGAGATCATCTGGTTCAAACCCCTGCATAAAGCAGGGTCAGCTAGACTAGGTTGCTCAGTACCGCATCTAGTTTGGTTTTGATTCTCCAAGGATGGATACTCTACAACCTCTCTAGGTATCTGATTCCAGTGTTTGACCATGTTCACAGTAAAAAAGTGTTCGTTGAGATTTCAATGGAACTTCTTGTATTTCCATTTGTGCCTGTTTCCTCCTGCCCCATCGCTGAGCACCACCACGGAGAGTCTGGTTCCACCTTTCTCACACCCTCTGGTCAGGGTGTAAGCCTTCTCCTTTTATGGTGGCTGCTCCAATCCCATCATCTTCCTGTGCCTCTGCTGGACTCGCTCCAGTAAGCCTGTCTCTCTCTGCTACTGGGGAACGCAGTATGAGACACACCGCCCCAGATGTCTCACCACTGCAGAGTAGAGGGGAAGGATGACCTCCCTCAACTTGCTGGGAATGCTCTTCCTAATGCAGCCCAGGATGCTGTTGGCCTCTGCAGCTAAAAGGGCATTTGCCTTTGAAGCCCACAGCACCCAGTTGTGACGGATCCCGTGATCGCAGCCGTGTCTCATAACAATTGCCGGTGACTGATGACAGGAGGGATTAGTGTTGTCTAGTAGTGGTTGTCTCTTAAGATTAATCAATGAAGTAAAGAAAAATATATTTTTCTGTGCTGAAAAAAAAATAAGCCCACCCTAACTTGCTTGGAAAAAGCCCAGTATCCTGGGTACGTAAGGAGGCTCTATCACTGCTCGTGGTGCCTTGTGATCCATATTCCTGTAGCTCTCCAGTAAGGCGTAGATGTGGTCATCCACGTGCTTTACAGATGAAGAACTGAAGGCAAGCGGAAAAGCAGGGTATGTCATTATCCAGTGTAGACACTAGTGAGCACGTGTCCCGCTTTGAAATGTCAAACCTGAAGAGTCTTGCCTCATTGTAGGTGCTCTGAACTCAAAACCAGGCTCTGCAGGACCCAGCTCTTCTGCCTCTCTGAGTGCCCAGTGTTGGCAAGGCTCAATGACAGTGTTTAATTCATTCCCAAATCCATTGGGATCCAGAAACAAGTCATTTCACTTCTTGCCCCCAGGAGAGCAGGGTACTGTATTTGGATTTGGCTTAATGCTCTTCTGGAGGAGGAGGCTACTTGCAGCATCCAGTGGGAGCTACTGCTTGTTTTTTTAGGAAAACAGCTGCAACGATGGTGGCTTTTTTTGGGATTAATTACTTACATAATAGCATACCTAAATAAGCGTTGCAATAGAAACCAAGATCCCTTCGAGGTATTGTTTATTCTTGACTACTGGGGCTATTATAGTCTCCAGAGTAGTCAGCAGGGAAAATAAAAGACCTGTGTGTAATCCTCCATGCTGTAGAAGCCTGGTTTGAACCCATCTTGCTGCTGGGAAGTGTGCCTGAACTGACAGGCCGTAGGCTGCTCTGCGGTGGGTGTTTCCAGCCTCTCTAGGAAAAACGGAGAGCGTGAGAGCTCGCAGCGTGCGTGATCCGGCATGCCGGGAAGGGAGGCAGCTCAACTTCCCTCTCGGTGTTCTGGGGAGAAGCCCAGGCCGCTTGCTTGTGCTGGTGTGAAAAGCCATGGGGTTTAACGCCCCTCACCTCGGCATGGTCGCTGGGGAAGGATGACCGCGGGGTCAGCAGGGCTATTCGTGAGGGTGCTGATGGGCTACAAGGGCCAAAGCCCGGGGCTGTCTCAGCCGGGGCCGTGCTCGGGGCTGCGGAGGAGGCGAGGAACGAACCGCCTACAATGCCAAACCAGTATTGCCGAGTGCAGTGGCTTGCTCCGCTCCTCGCTGTCAGCCGTCCGCTCAAACATGCCTCTCCAGCCAGAGGGAGGGAAAACGGACAAGCCCCTAGCCCATCCCAGGACATGGGAACGTGGCCAAGGTCAATGGAGAAGGGAGCTAAACAGAGCAAAAGCTGGTTTGTCTCAGGGTTTATTCCTGGGGTAAACAAATCCATTCCCAAGCATTACGTGTCTTGCCCCTTTCCTTCAAGGGAAGGAAGGGGAGGAGAAGGAACTGGAGTGGAGGTGGTTCAAAGGAACAACTAGGCCTACCAAGGAGGGAGGCAAGGGAAGTAAAGGAAGTAAGAGGAACAGGCATATGCTTACGCTGCTTTGTTTCAGCAAGTTACCTCGCATCTGCTGACCTGCGTGCGGGGGTGGCATGTGCGTCTGCCTGTTTGCACCCAAGGGCCAACGAGAAGAAATGCAAATAACTCCCTTTCATCTCAAGTTAATGCAATTCCAGTTAATTTGCATCGGATCGTTCCTGCAGATCAGTTGATGGCGAGGCTGGGAGCCAAGCCCAAATGCAAAGCAGATCTGTAGAGAAGCTGAGCAGGGATCCTGGGATACCTCAGGAAGCTGTGTTCCTGCCTCTTTATGAGACCGAATACCTCCCCAGCAAGGGGACTTACTGGTAAAAAGGTTTCTAAGTACGTTTTCTTTCCTTTGCTGCAATTGTGTATCCTGATGTACAAGAGCTGTGCTACTCATTGCAAGAGTAACTGAAAATCAGTGTTACTAACTTGTAATATGTGGTAATACTTTAAAACTTCACGTCCTGGGGTCATCTGGATAGGAGAGAATCTGCAAGTTTAGTAGAAGGAAAAAGTAAGTTCCCAGGCTGTGGGTTCAAAGAGAATGTTAAAATAGGCTTTTTGTGCCCCACTGAAAAAAACCTCAGAAGACAGTGAAAAATAACTCTTACAATAATTTATTTTGTGTGTAGGCCCCTCTGAGTTCTGTGTGAGTCAGTTTTTGAACAACTGAAGGCTTTTCGGTAAACAGCAGCGTGTAAAAGGGAGTTGTACCTGTAAAGAAACAGCACAAGTAGGAAACCCAAACTTCATGGCCCTGCCAACTCATGAAGCAGTGTCGGGGGGGTAGGGCTGACCCTCAGGAGACAAGGGACTGCGTGGTGCCAGAGGAGCAGCCCTGGAGCCGCAGCCAGCACAGCAGCCTGGCGAGGTCTGTCACTTCACACCTTTCTGGCTTTGCTCCGAGTATGACCAAGTCCCAAGAGAGACCCTCTGCTGCAGGGGCGGTTGCAGGCAGTGGAAAGAGTTTAAGAAAGTTCAGTGGCAGAAGGGAAGGGAGAGGGCTGCTCCCCATCCCCTTCCTACCGGCCCCTGTCACTGCCGGGCTGCAGTCCTACTGCAGCAGGTGGGTGCATGTAACGTGGGCTTTTGGCAGGCAACTTTCTTGCCCCCTTTTCTCTGGAATAGGGATGCTCCATTAATACAGCCAACGAGCTACAACTACATAGTATATACACTCTGTGTGTGTATATATACATATATGTAAAACTAATTCTGGTCGAGGTCTTGCTGCAACTGGCAACCCAAACAAGCAGGACTTTGTCCAACAGCTGGATGAGAGATGCAACGCGCCGGGCACAGCAGTGTGGCTCGCTGCCGTACCGCTTCCTCTGAGCTGCTGCCTCCCTGGAAAGCTGTTCTGCTGCTGGTGCCGCCTTCTGGGTTTATAAACTCGTGGTGGTGACCCGTTGGGCTTGTTGCCAGGCCCTTCAGTAAGAACAAAGGGAGTTTGGTGTCCTACCCAAACTGCAACCTGCTAATTACAGAGTGTCTTTCTGAATACCGCGAATATTGGTGATTCCTCCTGCCTTAGTCTCTCAGTTATTTGCTGTGCTACTGTATTACTGACCCATTCCTTCCTTGGTGCTATTGTATGCCCCTTCCCACAGGAATTTACCTGCTGCTTCCCTCTCTTCCCTGCGCTGTGCAGGGTGGCTGGGGCTAACCCTGCTGTGAGGGAAATGGGCAGGACTGCAGGTGAGAAATGTCGTGCCCACCTCTCGCTCCCTGAGGTTTCTGCTGGTGTGTCAGACAGCAGGTTGCACTGGCAGCCTGGAGGTGAGGTGTGTGTCTGCTCTTTGCTCCCCTTGTCTCTCTGGGAGCAGTGGTGAGATGGTTCTCTCCAAAGGAGGAGTTCCCCAGCTCAGTGTATTGATTATCAGTCTCTACCTTGAGGCTGTTGATCCCTATTTACCTGCTGAGAGAAGTAATCCTGCTGGGAGGAATATTCCCAGTGGATCCCTCAGCTGTGCACCGATACCAATAGGCCTGCCAGGGTGGTCTGGGGAACTGCTCCCAGCACCCCTTTGTCTTAGGAAGCCAAAAAGAGCATTTCGTGGCCTTCTGGGCTTGGCCCATTCCCTTCCACCCCTTTGGCCCATTTGTGGAGCCGGCTGTAGAGGGGGAAGCCCTTGTTCTCCCGGTAGATGTAGACACCCGTGATAGCGTTCCACTGGGGGCTTGGCTGGACGCCCTCCACCGGGAACTCCTGCACCAGCTCCTTCTCCTCCTTGTCCAGCGCCACAAAGCCAAAGAATTGCTTCACGTTCTTGGCCG